CTCCCCTCCCCTCCGTCACCCTTCTCTGGACACTCTCCAGCCCATCAATGTCCTTCTGGTAGTGAGGGGCCCAAAGCTGAACACAGTATTTAGGGTGTGACCTTACCAGTGCTGAGAACCTGCTGGTCTACAAATGAATATTTCTTTGCCTGTGCTCCAATTTCCAATAGATGTGTAAGAGAATATGGGATTTCTTTTGTTAACTCTGCAACCAGGGTTGACAAAAGTCTCCAAGTCCTCTTTTAGACAATAATGAGATTCACTAGCCATTTATGTAATGGATGACGGAAGCCTGTCACTGATGAAATAGGAGATGATTTTGAAAGCTATCCTGATGTACGCAGGCTAAATTAAGCATTCTTAATGCCATCTAACGTGACGGACACTAATCATTTGCTGATAAAAAATTTTTATTTGACTAAAGCTTAATGGATTGACATGCAGTGATATGGTTTGCAACCTCTTTAATTGTTCTTAATCTTATTTGTAAATAAAGGTTTTTTCCTCAAAGTTTTTAACTATTCTCAGTTTCCACTCAGTATCGAATAAAAACTTTTAATCTAGGTTGTTAACTGACTCCAAGGGTATAATACAACCATTAAAGAAACTGTTGGGAAGGAAATTGTATTTGCTTTCCAAAGAACTAAGTGAATCATACTGTGCTGATGTTCTGAAAAGCTTCTCTGCATGAACATCACTTTACACCAGGGTGAATGAACAGAACATATCCCTTTCTCTTCCTCCATATGTATGTTTGCTACTATTTAAATGCTCCAGTAGTGGCACATTTAAAAATCTGTATTATATTAGATTCACTAGTTATATCTGACCAAATATTATTCATTCATGTACACGGAACACACTGGCTTACCTGGGATGTACGTTAATAATCTTGAAAATGCAACAATTATACAAAAATTAACCTCTTTGTCTATTTGTCTATGCTCTACTAATTAAATCATATGTTGGCCCCTTCACCCAGAGCATGAGTCCTACCAAGCAGCATCTTCAGGACAACCATCTTCATATTCCCTTAACACTATGCTGCAAAGCCAGACTAGCAAAAGACTCACTAACTGACAGGTTTCTTTAAATCCTTGATCTCTGAGGGAAGAATGAGTTGCCAGCTCTGTATTTGCCTTTGCCATGTGAAGTCATTTTCCAGGAACAGGATTCAAATTACTGCAATGCTAAAGAGACAGAGTTTCCTCTTGGTTCCTCAATATATATCAGAACAATTCTAACGAAGTCAAAAATCATTTGCTCAGACCAACTGGGAGTAGAAATCTTATCATGAGTAAACAACTGCTGTTGTAATGCCTAAGCCATTTCAGAACATATAGTTCTATAAGTGGGATTTGAGAGTCCCTATTTCACTGTGTTAAGCAACTGTGTAAAATAATTTACATTGCAGTCACTGATGTCAGATGACATCAGTGCAGTGACTGATGTCAGATGACGTCAGTCCAACCTATTAGGAGGAGGCAGCAATTCAACTTGAAAATAGAAGGGTCTGAGATAGCAGGTGGGGAAGAGAGCTATTTTTAATCTTATACTTTGTGAAATGATTTTCCATAGGTATGTAATCGGGATAATGCTCTGGAGGACTGAGAACAAGGCTTTCAAATAAATTATTTCAGCATTTACTAAAACTGCAGTAGGGCTTTGTTATTGAATCATCCACAGGAGTCCTTTCTTTGTTTACACACTACTG